GAGGGGGCCTGGCTACAGGAAGCTCAAAGCAGATTTCTGACTATTGAAAGTGAGAAACTGAGGCCCAGAAAGAGGGAAAGAAAGACACTGAGAAGCCAGAGGCCAAACAGAGGCCTACCAAGGCGAGCGAGAAAGCTCAGCCAGCCAAGCTCGGAGACAACACAGAGGGGAAAAAAAAAAAAAAGGACCAAGAGACAGACCTGGAGAGGGACAGCCAAGCAGAGAGAAACAGAACGCCTGAGAAGATGAAAGGGAGACAGGGCAAGGGCCAGGCAGAGACAGATGGAGGGCCATGGTCAGGGCGGTGGAGAAAGAGCCTGTCGCTCAGGGGCCCCAAGACTGAGAGGCAGAGAAAAGGAGCCAGGGGCAACTGTCCAGAGCTGGCTGGGCAGGGTCTGCTTTCCCTGGCAGCACCCACACAGCTGAGGACCCACTGTCCACCGTCCCCTGAGGGACTGACCGTCCGAGTTTTCTCATCAGGCTTTGCAAGCCTGGCACAGTTGGGGGCTTAATCAATGTTTGCTGAATTGAGGTCTTGCAGCCTTCAGGGCATCAGGCAAGAGAAGACAAAGGATGATGGAGAGAAGAACTGGGAAAGAGTAAAGGGAGGAAGACCCAGACCCACAGAGACTAAGGAGACATAAGAGTGGGCTAAGCAGCCCCCGGGGGAGCCATCCGGGGAGTGAAAGACAGGGCCAGACCAGGGCAGAGGGAGACACCCAAAGACCCCGAGGCAAGAAGCCCATGTGGGGAGATGCCAAGGCCCAGACAGATGAAACCGAGATAGGCCCAGAGACAAAGCCAAGCCAAAGAGATTCCAGGAGAGAACTGGGAAACTGGGAGATCTGGGAGAGAAAGAAGAGGGAGACCTTGTGACGGGTGGCAGCAGGGGGATTGGGGGTGGGGGGGAGATGCTAGGAGTGAGGCTGGGGCCTGTCGAGCCTTGGACCCCTTCCCTGGGTGCCTGGAGCGGGGGAGGCAGTGGCAGCAGCTGCCTGGGACAGGCAGTGCCCAGAATGCCCAGAATGTGGGGGTGCCTGCTGCTCGCCCTGGCCCATCCCAGAGCGGAAGCAAATGCCTGCTGACTCTGGCAGCGAGGGAGAGGATCAGGATGCCCTGGCTCTGCCCTCACACCTGCTGGGCCTCTGAGGGTCACAACTCTGGCAATCTGGGTTGGGTCCTCGCCTGTACAGACACACACCCTGGGGTGCAAAAACAATCTCAAAGGCTTGGGTGTCATCTGGCCCTCGTGCAAACTGGCTTTGCAGCTCTGGGCAAGTCCTTTAACTTATCCAAACCTGTTTCTCAGAACAAACCCCGGGATCTCAGAGTCGGAAGGGGTCTAATCTAATCCAACTCATACTTAATAAGAATTCTGCCTGCAAACCAGCCTTTGCTTGAAGGCCTCACCTGTGAAATGGGTGCAGGGTCCCTACCTTGCCTCCTCCAGCATGCCACCCAAATGGGAGAAATGGAGTTGAGACTGCTGTGTGGCCTTGGGAAACGCCTCCCCATCTCTAGAGCAGGGAGGGCATAACTGACAGAGTGCTGGGCTTGCAGTCGGGGAGACATGAGTTCAAATCCAGCCTCAGACACTTCCTAGCTGGGTGACCTGGGGCAAGTCACTGAGCCTCTGTTTGCCTCAGTTTCCTCAACTGCAAAATGGGGATAATTTTAGCACGTCTCTCACGGAGTGGTTGTGACATCCTATTAAATAACATATGTACATAAAGCCCTTTGCAGTCCTCAAAGGGCTATGGAAGCATTAGCTAGATCTCATTCTCTGGGCCACAGTTTCCATGATGAGGGGGGTGTCCCTGATCATGCCTAAGGTGCCCCCCCCAACTCCAACAGTGTTTTAGTCTTGGAAAGAACCTCTGCCTACACGTGAAGGTTATGCGCATCCCAGCCTTGGCCCTTTCTCTGCCCCCAAAGGCACGGTTTCACAGCCCACCTTCTGTGGGGGCTGCTTACCTGTCCCAGGCCGGCCCATAATGACTTCCTTCTTGGGGGCGGGGTGCCCTGGGTAGCTGCTGGGCACGAGGACAGGCAGCAGGGCAGCAGGTGAGGGGTGGAAGGCGACGGGCTGGAACGGCGAGGAGGCCAATCCAAAAGCTGGCCCAGGTTGAGCCACGGTGGCCGGCCCCGCGGGGGGAACGCTGATGGGGACAGGGGCAGGCAGGGGTGGAGGCGGGCCCGGCTTCCCGCTGTTAGCCCCGGGTGGCCCGGGATGCTCTCGCCCAGCCCTACTGGGCTGGCCACTACCGCGGGCCTCTCCGCCTGCGGCTCCCTCCCCAGGGAACTTGGAAGGCAGTGGGACGTCGGGATTTCGGACGATGACAGGAGAGTCGCGCTGCACGGCCGGCACCCGCCGCACGGAGGGGCCGGGGTCTGATGTCAGGCCAGCCGGGGGGGGCAGCAGCAGCAGTGGGGATGGCTGGCGGGACCGGGGAAAGGGTGCAGCTGGCGACACAGCCCGGAAGCCGGCCGGAGTGGAGGGGGCAGGCGTGTGGGAAACAGAGTCCACGCCAGAGTCCAGGCTGTCACACTTCTGAAAGTCTGGCCCCCCCCCACCGCCAGGGCCCCCGAGTCCCCCCGGGTGTGGCAGGAGCTCTGGCTTCCGCCGGCCAGGGCTCATGGGCACGGTGAAGGTCAGGTTGGTCTGGAAGGTAGGCAGGATGCCTGAGGAATGGCGTTCCCGGGGGGCAGGGGGCGGAGGGTGGGGGCCCAGTTCTGGTGGGGTCAACACCCCGGCCTTAGGGGTGCTGGCGCTCAGATGACGGCTCCGGACAGCTGTACGCTGGATCACGGGCGAGGCGTTGATGGGGCTGAAGTTGGCTGGCCGGAAGCCAAAGAGGGGAGAGGGGGAAGGGGAGGGGGCCGGTGAGAAGGGAGACTGGGTAGAGACAGGCGAGAAGGAAGGCGTTCCCGAGCGGGAACTGCCCAGGGACACCAGCATCACGGCGGCCTCACACTCGTCAAACTCGAAGCGGGACAGGTCGGCAGGCGCCACCAGGCGGGGCCGAGAGTCCCCGCGGGCCGCCACGCTGCTGGCCTCACTGTCCCTCGACGTCTCGTCGGCCCAGTCAAACTCCGCGCTGCCCTCACGGGCAGCCTGGCGGCCAGCTCCTCCCGCCCCGGGGCCCGAGCCCGCTTCTGCCAGCCCTTCCATCTCCTTGGTGCGCATGGACAGGTGGCGGGAGCAGTAGCCTCGGCGCTGGGACTCCTTCATGCAGCCGTCGCGGGAGCACAGGCGCCGCCACTGCTTGCCGTTAAACTTTTTCCGAATGCCGTTGGGTGTGCAGACCACGTCGCCTTTCTTGTACTTCTGCTGGGCAGCCGTGAGGGGCGTCCGGGCCCGAGCCGGCGGGGCCGCCCCCCTCTCCAGGGAGGTCACGCTGCTGCTGCGACTGCCCCCTGCCCCGTCCTGGCCAGGAGAGGGCTGCTCAGCTGGGCGGCCAGGCCCGGCGAAGGCCGGCGACTTGGGGGGCGGTGAGAGCAGCTGGGGCGGGGGCAGAGGCAGCAGAGGCTGGGTGGCGGAGGCTGGTGGCCGTTTCTCCTCCTCCTCCTCTGTAGCTGCCTGACCAAAGCTGATCTTGGAGACCTCGGCGTCCTCTGGTTGTCTGGCCTCCAGGCCAGGGGGGCACGGGGGCAGCTGGAGGGGAGGCTGAGGGGGTGGCTGTAGGGGTGGGCTGTCTCTCTGTGTCACCTCGTCTCCCTGTTCGCCTTGGGTGGCTTCCAGAGGCAGCTTCTTTCTTTCTTCAGGGCCCCAGGGGGGGCGCAGGAGACGCAAGCTAGAGCGACCCACCCAGACGGCTTCCCTGTCCCTGCGGGGTGGGGTAAGTGGGAGCCCCGGTGGGGGCCCGTGGCTGAGGCGCACTTTGTATGAAGCCGGCTTGGCATTGACCTCCACCACCACGCCTTCACGATAGGCCGCCTCGCCAGGGTCCACACAAGTACAGACGGCCGTGCCCACCGCCAGGGCCCCGGGAGGCGGGGTGGCATCTAGGACCACATCCACGCCACCAGCCAGCACTCCCTCGTAGTAGGTGAGGGCACGGTCTCCAGGGAACTGAACGCCAAGGTCTTGGCTGCGCCGGACCTGCTTTACCACAGCAGGCACGAAGAGCCCATCCCGCCGCGCAAGGACCTTCTGGGAGCGCAGGAGGCGCAGGTCACAGGCCCCAGCCCCTGTGGAGCCGGGGGGCCAGGGTGCGGGGGGGCCAGACTCAGGCAGCTCTTCCTCCAGGTCACTGAGTGCTCGCTGGCTGTGTCTGTGGAGGAGGAGCGAGCGGAGGCAGGCGGCTGGGCAGGCAAGGCGCAGGCCCGGCCCTCCTCAGGGGTGGCCGGGGGCTCCTCCGGCCCACTACCCCCACCGGCACCATGTTCCTCCACGTACTTCTTTTTGGGGGCCCTCGACTTGAAGGTGGCGGTCTTTCGGCTCAAGGAAGGTTCCCAGCGCCCAGGCTCCCCCTCCCCCTTGGGGTCCTCAGCTGGGGGTACAGGCTGAATGGGGTCCTCTGTGGGGCCCGAAGGGGGCAGCTGCAGTGGGGCGGCCTCCACATCTGGGGCCCTCCCTGCCTCCGCTCGTTCACCTTCCTCCTCCTCCACAGGGGCCGTCTCTTCCTCTTGCTGCTGCTGCTCCTCCTCCTCCTCTTCTCTTCCCCCATCGCCCACCACCCGGCGCTTCTGGGCTTTGGCCCTGGTAGCTGGAGGGGACTTGCTGCCATGGCCAGGAAGTCCACCTGCTTTCTTCATGGGTTTCATCTTTGCCTTCTTCCTGGGCCTGTCTTCGCAGAGACCTGCAGGGAGGGAGGAGAGGGAAAGTAAGCTCGTAAGCAGGAGGCCAGAAGTGTGAGGCTCAAAGCCCAGGCCTCCCACTCACTACCTGCGTGGCCTTGGGCAAGTGGCTTCCCTGCTCGGGTCCCCAGATGGACTCAAAGGTCCCCTTGGGCTCCAAGCCTGGGCTCCAGGGATGGTTTGGTTTCTGCCTTTGTACGATGCCTGGTACGCAGAAAGGACTTAAATGCTTTGTAAATTCAACCCCTCAATGGGCCCTGCTCCATCCAATAGGAACATCTCTGCCCCCCCCTGCTTTGGACAACTGCTTAGGGTTTCACAGTTTCTCAGCCTGGGCATCGTAGTTGATAAGGTGCCTTAGGGCTTACTAACATTTTCATCTACATTTTGTAACTTGATCCTCGCAACAAGCTAATGTTTAACTCACTTGACACATGGGGAAACTGAGGCCTAGACAGGAAAAGATAATTAATTGCCCAAGGTCTCATACAGCCAGGCAGTGACGGAGCTCTGGCTAGAGCCCAGGACTTTCTCTGAGGTCACAAACCCTCCCAGGTTCTAGCCCATGTCTCTGCCACTGGTTCTCTGGGGTCCTCTGTTCCAGAAAAACAACACGTTCTCTGCCCAGATGTGTGCAGCCCACAGGCCCTGCTAGATGGGTTAGGGCCTGCTCAGCCATGCTCCCCTCAACTTTGTGCTCTCAGCGGTTCTGCCTGTATGCTCCCCACCACCTTCCCTCCTTCCCTCCAGCAGGCCTTGGCATGTCTAGGGCAGACATTCAGAACCAGCTGTGAGGCATACTGCGTGTGCGTGTACCCCCCAGCCCCATGATGTGAGGAGGACTGAACACACCCATCACGGAGACTACAAATCAGATACGTGGACCCCTGGCTCCCACCATTCCCTTGGCAGACAGCTCACCATAACAAGACACTGAAAGATGCCTTAGACCCCCACGGCCCTCTACTAACAAGAACTCGCACACATGTGTGCATGTGCGCACACATACACATGTTTATACACACAGACACACACACATCCCCCACACCCATTCGGGCCTTCCTGCCTCCAAAGTACAAGCCAGCCCCCCAGGTTCCCCACTCCCCTGCCCCAGGGTCTTAGGTTCCAGGTTAGGAAGGAGATCTGGGCCAGGCACAAAAAGAGAAGAGAAGGAGGCTGAGTCCACACTGGGACAGATAGGCCCAGTGGCCTAACCTCACCCATACTTCCTGAACGTTCCTTTGGCCCGCCCCTTTTTGAACTGCCTTTAAAAAAATAAAAATAAAAACTTTACTCTGAACCGAAAGAAGCAGGCAAAGGCCTAAGAAAGCATCCCAGGAGCTGAGCATGAGGGAGTATCAGGACCTGGGGGCTGCCACTGGCCGGCTGGGCCCACATCTCCCAGCTGGACTGGCCCAAGCCTTCCTCCACCATGCTTACGAAGGGAGAAGACCTCTCTACTGTCACTGGAAGGGCCTCCTCTGTTCTTCCCCCTTCACTCCCTGCCACGATTTCAGCCCCACAGGGTGTCTCTCCTGAGGCCCCTCGGTGACCATCCTCTGGGCAGGGAAGTCCCAGCTTCTCCCCTTGGCGTGGGCCCTACCTCCAGCAGCCTCAGAGCTGGAGAGGAAGCACCCGGGGGTAAGGCTTCTGCCCCCCATTTCTTGATCAGTGAGGCCTCCTTATCCCTGGAAAGTCCCCTTCTGGGGGGCTGGCTCAGTTTTTAGCCCCCCCCCTTATGCCCTGGACCATCTCTTCCCCAGCTCTGTGCCCACTCCACAGGCACTGCTTCCCCATTCCTTCCCCGATTGCTTGAAGGCTCTTGTCAGCCTCCTCTGCGCCAGGCCCTCCTCAGGCCCGGGTTGCTACATCCTCCTCCTCCATAGGTCATCTACCTCTGGGCACTTCCATCAGCCACAGCCCTTCACAGTCCCTGAAGTCCGCCCATTGGCCTTCGCCTTGCCACCAGTCTCTGCTCTCAGTCCTGTACTGCCCTCCGCCCCGTGCTGCCAGCTTCTCTCATTGCCCCCCACTTGGCCTTTCTTGGTCCCTTCCTTCCTGGCTCTTCCTGTCCATATTTATTGTCCCCCTCTTCCCTTAGGTATCCCAACCTCTCTCTCCTTCAACCCTTCCTTACACTTTTATGCCCCTACTCAGTCCCCCTCTCCTGTATCCTAATGACTTCACTGTCATCTAAATTCTCCCACTCTCAACTTGGCTATCCTTTCCACCTCTCTTTGTCCTCCTGGGCCCCATCTCTCTGTCTCCTCTTCCTCTTGCCCCCTCCCCACCCCTTGATGCCCTGTCTCCACAGCCTCCTCCTTACCCCTGGGGCCCCTCACCCTGCTGCCCCCTCCCCACTCCTGGGTGGCCTCTCCCTACAGACCCCTCCCACTCCTGGGGTGCCCTCTTCCTGCAGCAGCCCTCTCCTACCCCTAGGTCCCCTCTCCCTACAGCTCCCTCCCAACCCCTAGGTTCCCTCTCCCTGCAGCCCCCTCCCCACTTCTGGGGACCCTCTCCCTGCAGCAGCCCCCTCCCTAACCCTGCGGCCCCTCTCCCTGCAGCCCCTTCCCCATTCCTGTGTGCCTTGTCTCAGCAGCAGCAGCCCCCTCCCCATCCCTGGGTGCCCTCTCTCTGCAGCCCCCTCCCCACTCCTGGGTGCCCTCTCCCTGCAGCCCCCTCCCATCCCTGGGTACCTTCTCTCTGCAGCCCCTCCCCACTCCTGGGTGCCCTCTCCCTGCAGCAGCCCCTCCCCACTCCTGGGTGCCCTCTCTCTGCAGCAGGCCCCTCCCCACTCCTGGGAGTCCTCTCTCTCTGCAGCCCCTTCCTCATCCCTGGGTCCCCTTTCTCTGTAGCACCCTCGCCATCCCTGGGTCCCAGCAACCCCCTCCCCATCACTGGGTCCCCTACCCCTGCAGCCCCCTCCTCATCCCTGGGTGTCCTCTTCGTGCAGCAGTCCCCTCCCTACGCCTGGGTGCCCCTCCCCACTCAGTCCCCCATGTCATCCTTCCCCCTCGACCCCCCGCCGCAGCTCGCCCCGTCACCTGGGCGGGGGTCCGGGCCAGACTCCCTGGGCTCCGCGGGGCCAGGCTGGGCCGGGCCGGGCCGGACTGGGCTGGGACGGGCTGGGCTCGTTGGGCTCGGTTCGGCTCGCCTCGTCCCGTTCCCTCCTCCCTCCCGCCCGCCCCCCCCTCCGGTTCCTCTCTCCCCCCTTTCCCTGCTCCCCCCGTTTTTGTTTTTTTTTTTTTTACTCCAACACACAAAATGGTGAATGGACCTGCAACAGCTGGCAGCACCGGCCAATCGGCGGCCACAACCCCGCTGACCGGCGCCGGGCAAGACCAATGAGCGCCGGCTGCCCCGCGGGCCCCGCCCCTAGCAGGGCCGCCGTCAATCGCGGCCGCCGCCTCAGACCCGCCCCCTCCCAGGCCCGAGCGACGGCGGGGCCCGCCAATCGCCGCAGCTGCGCTTGCTGCTCCGCCCCCAATCCGCGGAGCGACGTCAACTTTACACCGCCTTCTCGCTTCCCCCCCATACAGTAACCAGCGGATGGTCGATCGACCCCCCGTGCGGGACAGTAGCCAATGATCACGTAGAGGTGGGGCTAAAGTAGGAGGCGACCAATGGAAATCTGGAGAAGGCGTGGCTCCGGAAGCTTGTTGACGGGACGGCAGCACTGTGCCTCCTGGAAGTTGTAGTCCTCCGCGGCGGCCTGAGTGTACATGGCAGCTGGGTCTGGACTACAACTCCCATGAGGCAGCGCGGTGCGGACTCCGAGGAGCCGGGCTGAGGGAGGGAGAGCGAGGGGAGGGGAAGAAGACCGGGGAGGGGAATGGGGAAAGAATCCGAAAGAACAGTTCCTGATGGGGGCCTTGCCGGACGCAGGCTTCGTGGACTCACCCGATTTTCCGGCTTCGGTGTCGCCCTGCGGCTCCTTTCCGCGGCGGCGGCGGCGGCGGCGGCGGCGCGAGGGGAGGCGCGAGGACGCGGCCAACCAACCGCCGCCCGCGAGCTGCCGCGGCCAATCAGCGATGGAGGGGCGGTGCGATGACCTCACCATGTTCGTCGCCGCAGGCCCCGCCCCCTAGAGGCGGCTGTGGTGGCCGAGAGTAGGGAAGTTCCAAGAAGAGGGGAGGAGAGAGAAAAAGGTGATGTCACCTTTCTGCACCCCCATTGGCTGCGAGGCCCCTCGACGGGAGCCAATCGGTGGCCTCGAAGAAGCCAGCGCGCCCGCGCAGAGAACCCTGTTGCCACCAGGAGGGGAGATGGGGAGAGAGGGAAGTAGAGGCCACGCATGCGTACTAGGTGGGGGGGCAGGGAGGCTGTGCTCTTGTTCCCCCCCCACCGTTCCGGAGGGTCCAGCAGATTCACCCTCGTTCCACCTTTGACCTTGAAAAGAAGAAGTCAGAATGTGGGAGAGCTACCAGGCGGCCCTGCCCTTGCGGGTTTCACACTGTGCTCCGGGGAGGGGGAGGTGTTCACACTGTCCATAGTGTCACTCTTAGCCTCCCTTTTTTTGGAGTGGAGTTCTTGAGATTTCACTGGTTTAGCAAACTGCGTATGGGAGTGTAAAGGTCTTAGTGACCTGGGGTCTGAGAGGACCAACAGTCCTGCACATAGTTCTGTCTGTGGCTGTTCACAACTTCCGCAAGAATCCCATTCTAGAATGTTTCACATGATCTCTGGAATGTTCACGGTGTCCCTGGGGAATCATAACCTCCATAGGGGTTCACACTATCCATGAGAGGGGACTCACACTGTCTGTGGTGAGTTCACACTGTTCCTGGCAGGTCATAGCAATCCATAGGGGTTTATAATATTTCTGAATGGGTTTCACTGATTAGAGGGAGGAAAGACTATGAAAACCATGACCACAGTGTTTCAGGATTCAGTTGGGGAGGGGGAATCACAGTATCTGTTTGCACTGTTACTTCTGAAGGCTCACAATCCTAGGAATCACATTGGGGGGATGGTGTAGATGTAATCATATTAATAGGGGGGATTCATCATTTTCCTGGAGGGGTCAAACTCTCCATGAGATGAGAATGTCCAAGGGAGTTCAGACGCTATGCTCTGGGGATTACATTGTCCATAGATTTTACACTATTCCTATGGAATCACATTGCCTCTTAAGGGGTTAGTCAAGCCTTCCGTTGGGTGTCCTTGGGGGACTCATATTATTGTGAGGGGGGCTGTGCTGTCCACTGAGTCACACTGTCTCTGGAGGGCATATTGTCCCTGGAGTATTCTTGTTTTCCATGTGATTCAGAATTCCTTTGGGGCTTCACACTCTACGCTGGGGGGTTGGTAATACTGTGCATAGGGAATCAAACTTAGGTAGTATCAAACTATCTGTGAGATTAACTGGTTCATATTCATGAGTCCATGGGGCACTTATCGCCCCTAAAAAGTCTGTGTCCAGAAACAGAGTCACACTGATCATAGGGATTCATACCGTTCACAGGAGGATCCTTATGTCAATATGGGTGCCACACTTTCAGGTATAAGGAACATTATCTCACCACCTCGGGGATCCTGTTGTAATTATGGGTTCACACTTCAAAAGGGCTCACAAAGTCCATTGAGTGTATACATTGTCAATAAGAGGTTCAGTTTAATTCCATTTAAAAAATTATTAAATGTCTACTCTGTTCAAGGCATTGTTCTAAGATGAGCTGTTCTGAAAAACACAGAGTCTATATGGGTTCACCCTGTTCTTGGAAGGAATTGACTATAGTGTCTGTGTGAAGGGAGTCTTCAGATCTTCCATGGAAATGATCACATTCTATTTGGTATTTATGTGGTTGATGGATGGGTCACACATAATGAGAATTCCGTTGTCCATTGGCCTAATTTGTCAGTGGTGGAAGTATGCATCTGTGTGAATATGCACTAGGGATGGGTCACAGTGTTTTGGTTTTTGCTGGGTTTTACAATTTGTGATGAGAGATTATTATTGTTAATTATTATATCAAGATTGATGGCAGGGGAACATTCATTGTTCATGAGCCATTTATATTGTGGGGGGTGGGTGAACTAAAGTAAGGGAATTTACACTGGACTTGGTGTAGTTTTCTGGGTTCCAATAGTCTGTGAAGAGTTACAACCTCAGAGAGTAATGTCAGAGCTCTGTAGAAATGTGAACTGTTATTCACAGACTCACAGAATCTCAGAGCCAGACAGGACCTCATTGACCATCTAATCCAACCCCTAGTTGGTGAATAATCCCTTCCAAGACCCAATGGCCAACATAAGTGATCAGTTGGCCTTTGCCTGAAGACCTTCTGCAAGGGGGAACCTGCCACCACCTGAGGCCGCCCATTCCTCCTTTTTGGGGGGGGGACAGGGAGAGTGTTTTGCAAGGCAGTCAGGGTTATGTGACTTGCCCTGGGTCACACAGCTAGTAAGTGTCAAGTGTCTGAGGCCAGGTTTGAACTCAGGTCCTCCTGACTCCAGGGCCAGTACTCTACTCCACCACCTAGCTGCCTCCTTCCCATCCCCACTTATTCCCCTTTCAGACAGCTCTAATTGTTAGACGTTTTCCCTGACATTCTGTCTACAATTCTTTTTTTATTTTCCACTCATTGCACCTAGTTTTGTCCTCTGAGGTCAGTCAGAACAAATATAAATCATCTTCCCCTGCCTCATGAAAGCCTTTCAGATACTTGAAAGCAAATCACCTGTCTTCTCTTCTCCAGGCATTTTGTCAAAATAATGACACAGTTTTTAGGGGGAGGGGAAAATTGCACTGTCTTGGTGGAATGGGGATACAGCATCTTTGGGGAAATACCATATGTTGGGTGCAAGAGATAACATTGTCTGTGGGAGTGCAGAGGGGACAGTCTATGGCTTAGTTATACCGTCCACGGGATGTTACAATGTTCATCTAACGTGCACTCTGTTTGTGGGCTGTGTGTGCTGTCCAAGAGGGAGGCGGTATTCCGTCCCTGAGGCTTGACTTTGTCACTCCCGGTGTTACATTGTCCATTGGGGAGGAAAGTGTCCAAGGGAGTCCATGTTTTCAGTGGAGGAGTTAGACCTCCAGCAAAGCAAAGGCATGAGACTGTCTATAGCAAAAGTCACACTATCCATGCGGCCCACAATTCCTTCATCCCAGTATCCGTGAGACTGCTTTCTGGGGGCTCAAATTGCCCCCTGGGGAAGAGGAGACAGGATCATTAGCTTCCTGGAGCATTCAGAATGTGGGAACTGGTAATTATCCCTAAGAGAAGTTTTGCATTCTTAGAGTTTTACACTCTGGGGAGGGGGTGGTCTACTCTTCACAAAGGGTTCATACTTTCTATTAGAGAGTTCACACTTCCAATGGAAACTTAAAATGTAATTGGTTTTTTTTTTTTAAAAACTGCCTAGTGCTTCGAGTATTCATGGTAGAGTCATCTGAAAGATACTTTGTATTCTGGGCTACTTTCTAACTGAATTTGAAATGGGGTTGAGGTAGCGAAGGAAAACTCTTGGCCTCACTGGGGTTAGGTAATTAATCTACTTTGGTAGTAAAGAACATGTTGGCTTGAATATCCTTATAGTTTTTGTTTTGTGACATTCATGTATGGAAATATCCTTTTTTTCTTGCATTAAAGTTTCTGAAACTTGAAAACTGTTTTTTAAAAGACAGTTCACACAATACATGGAGTATTCCTACTTTTTGTGGGCATTTTATTTAGTTCTAAAGGGGAACAGTGTAATACTTATCTTGGGGAGAATTACACTCCCCTTGAATATGCCAATGTTGGGGCGTGGGGTGGGGAAGCATAGACTCTACATGTGGAGTCCACACCATCTATGGAAAATGAATTCCTGCAGCCATAAAGGCAATTATTAGCATTGTTTCTATGCATTGAGACTAGTGCTAGACTCTCCTCTGGGTATGACTTTTTTAAAAATGTAGGTCAATTATTTGCCAAAGAGGAACATTTTCAAGAACATTCAAATTGCAGACTATTAGTATTCACACCAGTCTTTTCATTAAGGCAGTTGCTGTGTAGATTGAGAGGCCCTGTGTGTGTTCACACCTCCATTCCACTACATGCAGGCACTGAGGATAGATGCAAAGCAAAAATGGAACTTTTGACCTTCCATGTGGAGTGGACGGAAGGGGTAGGAATGGTAAGGTGTTTGATACATGCACAGATAAGTATGCACAAGATCTGACATGCTCTAGAGTCCTAGACTTGAGAAGCAGGAAGATTGGGTTCCAATTTTGCCTCTGACACTAGCCACATGACCATGTCAGATCCATTGATCAAGTTGATGGGAGGGGGAGGCTCTCTGGGGTTTGGTTTTCCTGTCTGTAATATGGGGATAATAATACCAAGTGGTATCCATCCATCAGGGATGTCCTGAGGTTCGAATTAGATAAGGCATATAAGAAGCTTTGCAAACATTCAAGGGGCTTAGAAAGGTGACAATTCTTATTATTTCTATTTTGGAGTTCCCCTAGACCTCTCTGATTGTCTTCAAGCCCATTTCAGAAAATCTCTACTTTCTGGGTCACTTTCTTGCTCTTTCTCTGTCCCAAATGGTCTCTTTTGGCATCCTTCAGGTCTCAGCTAAAAGCCCACCTCCCATAG